AGAATCGCTTGGCAGATTTGGAAAGCGGATTTGATTTCAGCGCCCAAAAACACGTCTAGCAGTATAGGTCTTATTTCGAACGGCCACTTGTGTTGGGATCCTTCCCTGGTTAGTTAGTTTTGACGTGCCTCAACAAAATCTAGCTGCGTCAATAGCCGCACTCGTGGTCTAAAAATCAAAGAAGCGGCGTCTGTTGCCGCTTAGGTGAAGTTTAACTAGACAAAGCTCTAGACAAGTCAGCTGTTTTTCTCCAACCAATTTTAGCTCTGGTATGGTTGCAGGAGAATGTGTCGAGTGATGGCTCTTTTAATGTTATTGAGTTCAATGTATGTAGTACGAGAGGCGAGAAAGGTGTGTCTAGGTTCGGATGTAAGTGTAAAACGTCGCAAAATCGGTACCAGCGATGGAGATTCGGACAGTGACGGTGAAGGGCGAGTTGGTCGCAAACGTGCTGCCGATGCTAGGGATCAGCCGGTGATGCCGCGCCGTCCTGTTGACCTCATCGTGCTCGGCGTGAATTTCAAGACCACTGACGAAGATTTCAAGAAGTACTTCGAAACGTTCGGTACCGTCGTATTTGCAGAGGTGCGTGAGAATTATGTCTGTGAGTTCTCTGTGTGTTCTGTGTTTTGTCTTGGTGCTTGAATGTTCTCGACATTCTTATTAGGTAGGTTATGCAAAGAGATGCAATACATGAACCGACGCGGGTAGTGTGTACGTTATGTGGGCATGCTCGATACAGCAAGTTCCGATTTGCGTGCTTGTTTTGAAAAGCAATGAATATGGGTGTGATTTGTTAGAAATACACCTTAATCACTCCTCCTAAGAATGGAATGAGCCTTTTGAAGTAGTTTGTAGTCTCTGCATAAGGGTACTGTATCAGATTTGCTCCGGTGGTCGATAATGGGGATGTAATTACCGATTTTTTTCTCAGAAAAGGCACCACATCCCTGGTCCTAGGGTCGGAATGACATACCTCCGAGGATTTAGACAAATCATGGTTCGAGCTCTAGTCGATAACTTTGGCTTCATCGATTTTACTTTTTGTTCCCACATCGTTAGGGTTGAGTTCATTTCGGAGAACAAATTGTTGCATGCGTTTTGTTCGTGCTTGTTCAAAAACAAAAAAAAAACAAGTGTAGGCATCAAAGATTAATGGGAGTAAATTAAACTAGTCGGCCAAAAGGGAAGGTTTGTTCAAACGAATTCGATCATTATGTCTTCATAATTAAGATCAAAAGAAACGCAGATGGAAGTTCTAAAGGATTTGGCTTTGTCCAAATGAGCAGCGTAGAAGAGGAAGACAAAGTTATGGGATTTTGTGATCACATGATTGATGGCAGACGCTGTGAGATCCGCTTTCCGGATCAGAAGGTAAGTATTACTGTGTTCCATAGTGTTAGTGGAGGAGCATAATCTCAAACATTTAATGTGATTTTTCTTCTAGCAGTTTTTCGATAATGGCATTATTGTTCCAGCACACCGATTCCAGTGCAAATCCTTATGGACCACCTCGAAAGACCTTAGTCAATAAGATATTCGTCGGTCGCCTCACAGAGAAAATCACAGAAGAAACGCTGCGGGACTTCTTCAACAAGGAAGCTAAGCAAGTCAAGGAAGCAGCAGCGGTAGGAGCTTTTCACAGAGCAGAGGCTGAATGTTGGAACAAATTCCTCTCAAAACGTGCAATGCTTGCTGTGCTTCAGGTGACAAATATCCTCATTCCTCGCCCATTCCGTGGCTTTGCGTTTGTTACGTTCACGCATGCGGAGGTCGCTGATAGAATGGTCAAGTAAGTTCGTTTTTATTAAACTATTGAAACTTCGATAAAAAAAAGTTTGAAATCCTACGAATGCAAGAAAAGAAGAGGGATGGACCGTCTAAAAATGCTTGTTACCTTTTTAGAGCCAACAATTTTGTGATCGACGGTATGTCAGTCGTTGTGACTTATGCTGTTCCTCGTGAAAATCACCAAGCTGCTGCTAACGCTCCGCCTGGGTTCAACGACTTTGCGGCCGCATACGGTTACGGAAAAGGTGGAGCTGGTTATGATGAAGCACCACTCGGGCTTATCCCTTTCGCGTCAAGGGTTAGTTGCAGTGAATAATGTTTGAGTTCTCATGGTTGTCATTTCAGCTTCTTGGACTCGTTTTTCTCACTACTAAACTAATTTATGATTAGAATGCATCATTAGTATATTATTTGCAGGAAATGTTTGGATACAGTCCCCCTAGTGGAATGTACCCTCGACCATCATATGAAGGATGGGCGACACCACCAACAAATATGCAAGGTACTCCACGTTCGGGTCGAGGAGCCGACCAAACACGGTACTTTTGAGACATCTCATGTTTTCTTTGGATCCTCAAGCTGTTCGCGAAAATGCAGAACGCTTATCTTCTCGTAACTGTTTTGCCTGCAGGCGAGTTGGGGAAATAAGTGTTTTCAACTATTCTAGGTTTTTTCCTCATCCATAGTTGATTTGACTTTCACAGACTTCAATGTTGCACATTCCATGTACACATAAAGTTTGGTCTACTGTTTTCGTTAACTTCATTTTCCATATCTTGGAATGCGGCGAGTTTTTTGATTAATATTACCACAACTGAATCTAGTCTGGCGGAAAGGTCAGCAGCCAACCGACTTAGCCATGTTACGCAACACGCGGAGGGGTGTAGTTGGGGTGTAACTTGACGTGGAACTGTATGGCCTACCCATCCCATAAGTCAAACCACGCTTTCGCGTGCCTTTGACAGGTTTCTATTTATTTTATTTGATTGGGTCTGATTACTCGCCCAGACTAACTAAGCCTCCCATTCCTCAAAAGCGGTTGGTTGGTAACGGGCTAATTTGGTCGAGAACTGCACTAAGTTTGGCCGAATACGGGAAGCCATTGTAAAGGCCACATGCGGGCGCGCTTCTCAATAGCGGGATTGATTAACGCAAAACGACCTAATCATTCATCCTTTCATTAGACAAGTGGACGTAGATTCTTCGCTACGTCTGTTTACGTGTTTGCGTGAAATAGCAACCGCAATGGATGTCAGCGACTGCCGCTTACTTTCATCGATCTTGGTCTTATGTCTTGGTCGGATCTTGGTCTTGGTCCTTCCCTCCTTTTCTTGTGTGCATTGTGCCCTCCATTTAGTCAGCTCGCCAGTTATGCAATTGTGTAGGCTGTTGGAGCGCAGACTATTGAATGACTATTACCGCGAAACATAATTTTGTGAAAAAATGGCATATGTAATGGGACAAAAGTAGGAGAGGGGGCATAATGTGTGTAAACGGTTGCAGTGTACATACACTCACATACTCATAAACTGTACTTGTTCAGCCATAATTAAGTGGTTGATGGCAGTCGAGAGCAGAGGTGTAAATGGTGTGCAAACGGATTTCGAACTGAATTTTCGACGCTCATAAGCTGTGCGCTTCAATCGAGATTGATCTGCTTAAGAATCAAGTACTTCTGCCTGTGGATTGTGGATATATGAAAGTTCGTAAATAACTCACAGTGCAAACGAACAAACTCGCCCTATTCTCATCATCCCCATACTTTAGAAATAAACTCAAGCTATCATCCATGTTGCAACAACACTGTGGAGGGAATAACAAAATGTAGCTGGATTGCGTACATTGTGCACTTCTCGAGGGGTATTTTTGACGGCATGGATTGTTATTTAGCAGAGGACACAACTATATAGGCGCACAGTTTGTAGGATGAAGAGCGGTGCCCTTTTACCGATGGATTTAGTTTCAATCTCCATCTGCGAGGCCTCAGGATGATTTAATTATTTATATGTCCTATCGCTAATAAGAAGTCGCATAGTACCTCTAGTTTTGTTGGTTAGAAGAGAAGGCCACGCTCTTGAAATCTGTGGATCTGTGCTACTGCGAAGACCTTCTGCTCGATTTGGAGCTAGTGGCGCAGATACATAGAGGTAAGAATGTGGCTGATGGTTAGTAGCGCAAAATTCGCGAACGGCTGAACTACGAAGAGTGCTGGTGGCTGAATCGTCGCATGCGTTGGAAGTCCTGTCGACGTCGCGATGAGTCATGTAATTGAGAAGTGGTTAGTTGTTGTGTTTTGCCGTTCGTAAAGCTTTGAAAAAAACTTTTGTCGGAGCTTCGTCACCCGTCACGTAGCAGATGCGCGAATGGCATCTTTCATAGTACGATACATTGAGCTGTGTAGCACTGTCGGACTTCCTTTATATAAGTTGGTTTATTAAGAAGAGGGAATAGTAAATTTATTTCTCGAAACTTTAGTGGTCGCCATCCTGGGAAAGATGGGCCGGCGGCAGCGTACCCGGGCGGCCCTATGCATAAAGGACAGCCGCCGCTGCCATACATGTATCCGAGGGATCCTAGAGAGGGGTAAGTGAAGAATTGTGCAGTACTGGGTGTGAAAGATGTTTTCGTTTGTTACGTTCTACCTTGCAGAATGGCTGGACAGGCTGCATCAAATCAAATTGCTAGTGGATTGGATGCTCTAAATCTGAACCAGAAGAATCCGGAATTGATTAGTGGTAAGGCGTTGTAAAATGCTAAGTTTTTTTTTTGTTGCAGTGCTGACTATTTTTCAGTTCTCTAAGAAATATTAGGTTTCATTCTCGATGATCTTTGGTAAATGACATTTGGAATCAATTTCAGCTGCATGGAATGCGTTTTTCAAAACACTGAATCACGCTGGTGGCACACCTCAGTCACACAAGCAGTGGTGATATGGATGGAAACGCATTGATTGACTTTTCACCTGTATTATTTGTTGTTACAGTTTGTGTTTACACATAACTCAGCAGTGTCTCACACTTTTGTTTTGAAGTTCGTTGTATTAGTAAGTATGGAGTTGACGTTGATTTTTTCCCGTAGTAAAATGCTCTTCCATCTCAGTTTACATCTCTTTTCCTTTGTAGTTTGGTCTCTTCTTAACTATAATTGTGAGCATAAAGTTTTGAGCAAACGAGACTGGTATCGACGCGGTGGAAGGGATGGAAGCTGATTGACCTAGCCGAATATCGGTCTGGGATTCAAACACTAGACAACGTATATGGTGCTCTATTTGCCATTGCACCACGTCCACCGTCCTCCCTATGAGTGGTAAAAAGCGCTACGTAAGTGTGCGTAAGTAAGTGTCACGAATTTTGGCACTCATAAAACATCTTAGGTTCCCTTCATCGTTAGAAAAGACAAGAACAATGGAAACTGTGCTCATCTCTCCTTTCTGCACTTCTATGGGTAAAAAGCACATGGTCCTATGGATTTAGGTATCAACTAAAGTTACTTGATCCGAGTTAGGGAGGTAATGTTGTGTCATAGGCTAGGATGAACACGCACACAAGCTGAGCGACCCATGCCTATTACTGTTAGAGAAGGAGTAGTTGCACAGTGGGATATGCACTGAAGGAGGTATCAATGGGAAAATGGGTTAGAACAGCTTGGAAAAGCAAAGAAATTCAATATAGGGAATCAAAGAATTGTCAAATAAAATGAAAGCAAGCATTGCAGAGCAGCATTATCTCCATGAGCGGTACTTTCCACGTGAATTCATAGTTCGAGTTCAGGGCAGCCACAAAATTCAAAAAAAAATCGAAACTGGAGCAAAATCTAACAAACAACAACAGCTTCACAAGTATGCCTGAACGAACTGGCCATGGTCTGAGTATCCTTCCAGCTTGACGGTGTTTATCCCAAATACTTTAAAAACGTTCTAGATTTCGGCAAAAGTGCCGAATGAAGTGAGGTTAAATGTTCGTGATCGGGGAAGCGTATGCCAAGTAAGACGGTACTGGGATGAGGAATTTGAGACCTTGATCTGAAGCCTTGAACTGATTTGTAGGAGCTTCCAGTCGGCGAAATAGACAAAGGTTAGGAAGAGAAAATCATTAGCCCAAAGTGCTCGTGGATCCCTCAATAAACGTCATTTTGCTGTCCCATAACAACTTTTTGTTGAGAGGTGGCGTTTTCGATGTTTCTATACGAAACGCGATGTTTTATTTGTTAAGAAGATACATAGCTTTGTTTTTTGTCTGTGTATATGGGGGGAAACAGTCTATTTCCAGCTCATGAGGTAGGCTGACGGCGTTTTCACTCTGCTTATGCAGACTTGTGTTCTTCAGACAGTATCTCATGGGACAAGGGAATTGAAGAGTATGAAGGACCTCTGTGATCCATCATTTTGTTGACTGTTGCAGTTGTTTTGTATACTTACTTGTTGCTAATTAAGATATACGTTCTGACTGCTTTCGAGATCGAGTTTTTGTTGAATATTCGCCTTTTTCCATAAACCAAGCAGGACTCTGCATCTAGAGGCATCGTGCTTTCAGAACTTTCACTACTCTTGCAATGTCGGTATGTGTGTGTGTGTGAAGGGAACAACAAGTGTGTGAGTAATATACGAGAAAAAGTTGGGTATGCAGATATCATTCATGACCATACTCAGCTATGAGAATCACACCATTATGAGGGAGTTGAATAGATGAACGGGGATCGCTCTTGCTATTCGGAAAATGATATCATATAACTATGGAATTTCAAACTTCAGACTTTCAGACATCAAGACTAGAGCGACGGACCTAGTCTTGATGGATGATATTGGGAATAGAATTACAAATTAGGCAAGGAACGTGTTATGATAAAGAACCGATTCCAGTATGTGTTTTTAGTAAATGCATTCCTTGGAAGCAGTAAGGATAGAGTTATGTAAGGGGCTCGCAATAGCTTCTCCTCTATGAGTTGCGAATTAACACATAGGTGGATATGCGGGTAGGTACATACTTGAGTGGATATTTGCCTGTGTTTCTTGATTTATGTTTGTGTTTGTGAAAGGGAGTGAATAACCGTGCCCAAGCAAGCGACATTGTTTCTTTATTGGACGAGTTTTACTCAGATTACTGTACGGATAGCATGGTACTGTATGACAAAATTTTGCTTGTAATCGTAGGATCAATTCAACAACAAATCAGATGAAACACGGCTCAAACTGAAGTTTAACTTCAATAGGTGCGACTGCATATGTGCGTTTGCGGTAGTGCATAAAGAAAAAATTACAATATATGTATATGTATGTGTATATGTAAATGACAATGTATATGAATATGTATGAGTTGTATCCACAAAAATGGTAGTACGAGTTGTAATCTATTGAGGGGCATGTATACCTGCTTGTGGTTGTGTATTTTAGTGAGCTTCAAGTGATATACATCGCTATTAGGGAATCAGATACACCGCGATTTTTGTCGTGGAATCCATGGATGGGGCTAACACTAGCCAAGGGTTGAGAATGTGGTATACGGGTAATTTCTGGCTATGCTATGTTACATTGGTTGAGTCTGCCGGTTAGACATCTGTTCGAGAGTGATTTCTGTTAGATATTGAAATACTCAATGTATGAAATCAAACAGAGTCGCATTAACCAAGTGCAGAACCATTCTAACATAAGTAGGTGTGACAAGCATGAATTGTAGCTGAATTCAGAATTCCAGTTAAGCTGTTGGCAGAAAAGATTTTGAAAACTTTCGATGGAGTGAAGGAGCATTGAGCATAGCAAGCATCTCGATGGTGTCTGGGAACGAACTGGATTCCACGATTCCACAGCCTACGGAGCGAGTGTTCTACCACCGCGGCACGCCGATGTTGATGTCGAAGGCTATTCACTTCCAGTCGACGCTATCCTGAAGCAAACTCGGTCACTTATTATTTTGAAAAGGCTATTTTACTGTTTTAATTTCTACAATAGATAGCACCAAACAATATCGACTCAGCTGGGTTTCCGTTCAAAGTTCTATGGTAACTGATCTACCAGTCGCGGTGTTTTGCTCTTACTTTAGTATCTATCTTGTGCTAAGAAAACAGAACATGTGAACCTGCGCCGACAAAAAGGTATATTCAGGGGGAATTAAATCATCTGCTTTAGAAGCTGCTCAGACTGTATATCTTTGGCTGCTTTCATAGTCCGCCGGCGTGCCGGCGTGCGTGCAGGCGGAGGCAGTGCTAGGGGGGAGGAGGGAGGCAGACAGTGTAAGGCAAACAGTCCACGCCCCTTCGAAGGTTGTTTGTTTTCAACCAAGGGGCGTGGACTGTTTACCTATCTGTCTGCCTCCCTCCTCCCCGCTAGCACTGCCTCCGCCGACACGCACGCCGGCACGCCGGCGGACTATGAAAGCAGCCTTTCTTGTGATGTGTGTTTGTGCTTCCGGGAAACTTAGGTGAAAGATGTCACCTGATCGTCTACTCTAGGTTTCAGAGCCCTTTTTATTCAGGGATTTCCCCCTTCGTCAACTTCGATGACAGACTAGGAGTTTCGCAGAGGTTCAAAGGTGCTATGTGCCTTGAAATAGCGGAAATCGCTGTTTATCCAGATCAAGCCCTGAACAGAGCTTTGTTCCTTACACGTCATCTGTGGGTGAATGTACGAAAGAGCACACAATAACCCACAACTGATCAGCTACATTTCGATCATTCTATCTACCGAATCGCCGTAGTGAGGCTGGAATGCAGCAAAGTACTGATCCTGACCAACACAAATGCCAATCTCCCTAAACACCATTAAGAAACAGAGGCTGGAATGGGGGACGGTACATTTGTGCGATTCGAGCTGCGCGCGGCAAATTGTGCAGCGAAATTTGTGGCCATTAGAACGGCCCTGGCGCCTATTATTGGGGCACAAACTTGAAGTAGAGTAGATCAGTATGGTCAGCTAATCCATTGCTGCTCCTCGTTTATCTCGATTTCTATGTCATCTTGTAGTCAGCCTATATTTGCATAGTGTACGGCAAGTATCATCGAACTCAGTTCAATTTCAGGTTCGTCTGAAGACTGAAAAGAAGGGGGCTCGTTGGGTTTCGCTGGGACCCTGACTTTTGAAGGAGGGCCGATCCTGTATAGCTGTTTCCCAGCAAACAATCATGACTTCAATACTTTCTGAATATACTGTTGAAGATATTTGAAGTAGTTTCTCAGAGCTTGCAAAAACGAACATTTTCACAGAACATTTTTCAGATAGTGCTCGCCGTCTAATCGTTCTCGGCCTAATCGTTCCCGTGTCCAACAGTAGCGTAGATCAAGATACTTTCCTTCCTATTCCGCTGTCCTACCGTCACATCATTTTGAACCTCCAGCTCTCAGAATGGAGTTTTCAAGGTTTGAGTTCTATTTCTCCCCCAACTGTCCATGAGTTTTTTTCGTAATGTGGTCTTTCTTCAGAATCCTACCGTATTTTAGCGAATCAGTCAGGCTGACCGCTCTGCACATGAAGATTGAGAAACAGGTAATCATCCGAAAGACGTTCGGAGTCCAAATGAGAGGTCGAGTTCATCAACGCATCTCGTTGCACGAGGCTTTCAAATAGTGCGATGTCCCAAGTAGTATCGGGTGAGTACCTTACAAAAAGACAAGATTTATGACAGGTGACAGTGAAACCTTATTCCAGTGCTCCATCGTTTCCCAGTGAAGTAGCAGATGCCTTCATTTCACTTTCTCACAACCAAATGAAAAAAGAATCCGCAGGCTTTTATAAACAGGTAATCATAATCAATAATTTTGTTTGATTTAGTAAACCCATGCAAGTGGCTTCAGTGAGATTTAGCAGGTTTTGATTAGTTTGATCGTGCCTTGTATACAATTTGCATCCTCAACAAAAGATAAGCAAAGTAAGTTTTTTACCTGTACCTTGATTTGTAGAACAATTCCTTTTCTACAGTCTCTAACACAAAAAGATGTCCGT